GCAGTTGGCGGCGGTGCTGAATTCGGGAGGGAGAACGAGAAACAGCAGCGTTTCAGGCGTGGTGAGAAGAGAGTTGGGGGTTGGACTAGGTGATCTCCAGAGGTCCCCTCCAACCCTGGCCGTTCTGTCAAACAGCAGGGCCCTGAGGCGTTGACCTCCAAGGACTCTACCAGGCAATGAACTTCTACGGCACACGGACAGCACCTTGGAGGAGGCACCGTGGTCTCTGCTGACCCATAGGAACAGGCGGTCCCTTCACTCCCCCTCTGCAGACCTACCAACCAGCGACAGACGTGAAGCCCTGGCAGAGGACAAAACCCATGAGCAAGATCCAGAGGGAGAAGCCACACCAGCAGCACATAGTAAAAGCTACAAAAGGAAGCAGCAAGTGCCAGCAGTGGGTGACTGTACTGAGAGGCCCCGAGGCACCCATTTGCCAGCCTGGCTTCACGCTGGGGGAAGTTTGCTGCTTGCCAGGCGCCAAGATCTGGGATGTCACAGGGAGATGCCTGCCACACCTGCTTAAAAGCACAGATACTGTCCCCTACTTCTTTTCCTGGACAAGATCAAGGAAGACTTAAGAGCTCTGGGGGTGCAAGTGAAAGGGACAGGTGTGCAAATAACTTTCTTCTCTGTCTTGCCAGTCAGAGATAGGGGTGTAGAAGTCAACACAATACAAATCAGTGCCTGGCTGGTGGTGTCACTAGGGCTTTGATTTCTGTCATCACTGGTCAGTTTTTGATGAATATAGGTTATTGTGGAGAGATGGGATTTACCATTCTAGAAGAGGCAGGAAAATCTTCAGTAGCAAATCTGCTGACTTAGTGAATCACACTTTAAACTAATGAACTTTGAGGGATAGCATCCGAAGCTGTGATGTGCATATTTGTAAGCAATAGGGTGGATGAGCACACCTACCAGAGTAGTGAGTCATGCTCCCCAGCCCTCTCCAAAGGCAAGAATCCTAAGTTCACCCACCTCAAGTGCATGTCTACTAATGCACGCAGTCTGGGCAACAAACAGGAGGAACTAGAATTCCATGCCCAGTCTGAGAGTTACATTGTCATAGGAATCACAGAAACTTGGTGGTAAAACTCACCTGACTGGAAGACCACACTGGAAAGCAACAAACTTTCAGAAAGATGGGAAGGGAAGAAAAGGGGATAGAGTTGCACTTAATGCGAAAGATAAATTTGAGTGTATGGAGGTGAGCTGGTGAGTCCACAAAAGTTCTGTCGAATGCCTTTGGATCAAGATCACGAAGGGGGATCTTATCTTAGATACGTTCCTGACCTACCGATCAGGAAGACGAGGCTATAAAAAAACCTTACTTCAGCTGTTCAAGGAAGTCTCAGGCCAAGAGCACCTAGTCCTCAAGGGTGACTTCAATTACCCAGATATTTGTTGGGAAAATGACACAGCGGTGCACAAGCTGTTCATCAGGTTCCTGGAGTGCATTGAAGTCAGCTTCTTGCTGGACATGCTGCCTAGGAACAGCACACTGCTGGATTTATTGCTCCTAAACCAAGATGACTTACTTGACAACAAAACTACCAATGATAGCCTGATAGCCTTGGATACAGTGATCACAACACTGGATTTTAAGCTTCTGCTGAGCACACTGAAGACCAGTAGTAGGACAACCCCCCTGGATTTTAGAAGAGCCAACTTCAATATGCTCACAGCCCAGCGGTGGGGGATTCCATGGGAAGCATCCATGGATGGCAAAAGAGCTTGTGAGTGCTGGGAGTTATTCAAGAACAGCCTCCTGTAAGCACAAGAACAGTCCATCCTCTCTGGGCGGAAAGGAAGAAGGCAGAAAAAGAGACCACTCTGGCTTAACAATGAGTTTTTGGGTGTCCTTAAAAGCAAAAAAAAGCATGGTGTCTATGGAAAGGCAGCCAGATACCCATCAAGGACTCTGAGAACCTTGCTTTGGAGGTTCTCAAGATGCAATAGTCTTGTCTAGGCCCTCTTTCCCATGAAAGGTTGGACCGGATGATCTTTTGAGGTCCCTTCCAACCTGGGCTATTCTACGATTCTGTTTTATTTTATTTGTGACAAGGCTATTAAAGCACTTTGAAGTGCAGTATTTTGATTTTATGCGTCTCTATCTGCGTAAATGCTGTGTAGCCAACATACATGATGCATTGCTTTTTTTTCCAATATATCCTCAGATTGTTGGTTCTTTTACTTTTGTATATTATGCTCATGAGAATTCATACCAGATGTTCATTCAGAGTAAGACAGTAAAGTAATGTTGATCTACTATTAGAGAGGAGAGAAAATTAACTTTAGGTGTTTATTACCTCAAATAAGCGTTTCCTGTAAATAACTATAAATTGTACGTTTTATTTTGCAGACACTATAAGAAGCGTTGTCAAGGCCGGATGCGGAAACATGTTGGTGACCTGTGTTTACAAGCTGGCATGTTACAAGATTCCTTGGTGCATTATCACATGGCGGTGGAACTTCTGCGATCTGTGAATGATTTTCTGTGGCTTGGAGGTACTATTGATGATAGTGAATCAAACAATTAGTTGCTAAACCCAAGTAAATCAAACTTCTATAACTTTTATTCTGTATTATTTTGGTGACCAAAATCTGAATATCAGGTGTGACTAAGAATTAAGTCAAAATAAAAATTAGTTAATAAGGCCTGAGATAGTAGTGTGTTTAAGAAAACCTGAAGCATAAAATGTATTATTGCAGTAAAGCATGTACTTAAAGAAAATAATATTGCATGTGACTTTTTAATACTTCTCTGAAAGGTATTTATTTTTTCAGTGGATAGTATGGATATTTCAAAAATCTTACTGTAGGTATCTACTATGGACTGTTAGTAAAAGATTTTTGCCTTTACATCTACCAAAGCCGTAAGTGTTTAACTTCCACGAGCATAACTTCCTTCCTTTCACATTAGTTCCTAGGCTTCACTTTTTTCCTGATTTTTCCTTCCTCCTTTCCTTTTCTTTTTTTCCTTCCTGCTTTTTTCTGTTTATTGAATATACAAGTGATCTTTGAGCACAATTTCTGCTTCTCAGTTTCATACTCTTTTAGGAAAATTGCTGAATCCAGTTCTTTTAGCTTTCTCATTCTACTTGGAAATCCACTTAGCTTCATAATGGCTCTGTACATTACATATTGTGAAAATCATAACACCTTCTGAATTTCCACTTCTTTCCTTATACTCCTTCAAAAGGTTAAATGGTTCAGGATTCTTCAAGCAGGAAAGGAGAACTTTTCTACTTCTGCAGGCCATGAAAATATTTTAAGGCCCATCTATTGGACTACCAAATTATTCTTATTGACTCAGAATAATTTGGCTGGAAGCTCCCAAGTCTGATCATATCATGTCCAGTTAAATCAAGTTGCTCAGGGACCTGTCCAGTTGAGTTTAGATATATTTAAGGATGGAAGTTCTACAATCTGAGCAACCTGTTCTAGCATTTTGCTGCTAGTAATTTGAAAAAAAACCAAACAAACAAAAAAACCCCCAACAAACCACAAATTTTTCCTACATTAAAGTAGAATTTCCTGTGTTAATTTGCATTGACCCTCATCCAGTGTCTGCACCTCTGAGAAGCAGTTGACTCCACCTCTTCTGTACTTTCCCACTGGGTCTTTAAAGACAGCAATAAGATCTCCCCTTAGCCTCTAGTACTTCAAGGCTGAACAAATCCACTTATCTCTGCTGCTCATATGTTGTGTGCTCTAGCTCCCTGACTATTTTGATGGCTTCCACTAGTCTTGCTTCAGTATGTTAAATGTCTGAGGAGCCCAAAGGTGGTCGCATTGCTCCAAATGTGGTCTCTCGGATGCAGAATAGAGGGGAATAACCAGTTCCCTTCACTTGCTGTGTACACTGTGGCTGTTACAGCGCAGTATGCTGTTGGCCATCTTTGTTGCAAGGGCTTACTACTAAATGCTGTTCACTCGTTGTCCACCGGGACCCCAAGGTCCTTTTCTGCAAAGCTGCTTTCCAGCTGGTCAGCTCCCAGGCTGCTCTGCTGAATGGGGTTATCCCATCGGAGATGCAAGAGCCTTTGTTGAACTGCATGAGGTTTCTGTCAGCCCATGTCTCCCGCCTGTTAAGTTCTCTCTGAATTGACGGTCTGTCTTACTGTCCCCTGCAATTTGGTATCATCCAGGAATTTTCTGGGAGTGCTCTATGAAATTATCCAAGCTGCTAATGAAGACATTAGAGTATTGTCCCCTTTATTGATTCCTAAAGGACACCAGTATTAACTGGCAACTGTTTGGACTTTGTACTGCTAATCGCAATCCTTTAAGCCTGGCTGTCCAGCCTATTTTCCATCTACTTTATATGCTAGCTATCCACATTTTATATCATCAATTTGGTTATACGCATGCTATAGGAGACCATGTTCAAAGGTCGTGCAAAAGTCAAAATATAAAACATCCACTGCTGTTCCTTTGTCTATTAATCATCTAATCACAGGGAGGCAGTGAGGTTACCAAGGAATGATTTATCCTTGGTAAATCAGTGTTTGCTGTTCCCAGTCACCTTCTCGTCTGTCATGTGGTTGGAAATGGCTTTCAGAAGTGTTTCATTATAGCCTTGCCAGGGAGCTGGGGTTGATCTGCCTGTAGACCCCTGTTACTTCCTTCTTGAAGAAGGTTATGTTGTTTCCCTTTGTCCAGTCATTAGAAACTCCCCCGACTTGGCATGATCTGTTAGAGGTCATTAGAGAGAGGCTTCACATTGGCCAGCTCTCTTGGTGTCCATGAATGCATCTTACTGGGTTTTGTGCATTTGTGTCCAATTGGATTAAGTGCTTTGTATGTATCTCTTCCTCTGCTGTGGCTAGCGTGTACTCCTACAGATTCTGCTAGTAGTCTTGGGGACCTGTGAGGGTAGACCTTACTGGTGAAAAGAGGTAAAAAGGATGTGGAGTGTCTCGGGCTTTTCCATGACCTTTGCATTTGGTCTCCAATTTGAGGCATACTTTATGTTTGTGTAAATAGTCTTTACTACATGATACTTCACTTCTTGCTAGTGTCTCTACTAATCTGTTGGCTTTTTTCTTTACAGCTGCTCTTGAGGGGTTATGCTCAGCATCAGTCATCTATCATTATCCAGGTGGTACTGGAGGTAAAGTTGGATCTCGCAGGGCGCAAGGAGGTTCTCTTTCTGCTGAGGCAGGCAACAGGCACAGACCAGGTAAGGACGGGATTTTCTTTTTATTCTGTTTGCCACCACTGAACATCTGAAAATTTCCTCCCTATTTCCTAACTCTGTAAAATTATACTGATGACAGGATAAAATGGAGCCAGGGGGTGGGAGGGGACAACTGTATTTCTTCTTAAGTTTTTTTCCATTAATGACTTTTCTACTGTTTTGGTGTTAATGTCAAGAGGTGTGCTTTGTGTAGAGTTGCAAAGCTTTTGATCTCTTCATCTGATTGTTAATAGTGTCTGCATTAGTTTGAATTTTGCTGGAGGAGATGCAGACAGTTTTCATAAAGTACATATGATGCAGAGCTGCACATATTAAGAAGAATAAGTTATGTACCTTTATTCAGAGGCCTTTTGCTATTTTAAAGTCAACATTTAATAAATAGATTTGGTTAACTAAATACCAATAAACCAACATAATTTTTAAGATTTAGTATACTTTTTCTAAACTCTCAGATTGTATAACTAATGCAATAATGGTATTAACATTGGTATGATAGACGTTTGAGAAATGGCCTCCTTAAGCTACTTCAGGACTTATTAGGAGAGCAGCATGGAGAAAAAAAAGAAAATATCGTTAAGATGATGGTTAATCTGCATCTGGGATGTTGTATGCCATTTCAGTTTCACAGCTCAAAAGAGTGTTCATGTTCCCTATCTCCCATTTTTCTACTTGAAGGAGATTGCAGATGGGCAACAAAGATGATCTTGGTATAGTTTCTGTACAAAGAATAACTGAATAGCCTGGAACTCTAAAGTTCTGCAAAAGAGATGGCTGAGGAGAAATATGAGAGAGCTCTATAATTTGGTGAATGTTGTTGTCCTTGTTTGAGGTAAAACAGGACCAATTTTGTACAGTAACTTTGCTTCTTAGCTAGGCCTCTTCTAACTACCAAAATTAACAGCATATTGTGCAGTCAATGTTCACTCTCTGAGTGATAAGACCAATATTTATAGCTGATGCCCAGGCATGGTATGCAGAGAGGCTCTTGCTTATACTTATTGCTATAACACCCAAGGCCAACCAACTCTGTTATTTGCCTTGTTGGAGGGTCGGAAGCGGAAAAGCATAGTGGGGTCCCACCTGTGGGGAGGAGCAGATAGGACAGACAGGTGACCCAAAACTGACCAACAGGGTATTCCATCCTATCTGCCTCATGCTCAGTATAAAAGCTCAAAGGGTCAGCCCTCTTTCTTCAATGGCTGATGTCTGAGGAGGACTCTGTCTGTTCGTCTGCCTTTGATCCTGAATCCAGAGCAGGAATCCAGTTCCTGTCCGTCACTGCGTCCAGCCTGGGACTGCCCCAGTGCCAGCTGGTGTCGTGAATGTCATCCTGGGAGCTTGATACGATTTTGTATATATTTCATTATTTCTTTTTATTTTATTATTAATATTTCATTAAAGTAGTTTAGTTCCTTCTAAACTCATAAGGCTCTTTTTCCCTCCTCTGCCTCTCTTTGAAGAGGGGTAGAGTGGAGCATCTGTTGGTCCCATCTGGGGCCCCCCACATCCCCAGTAGCCAATTTGGCCTAAAGCACGACAGTTGTGGAAGAGGATGGATAGGGATCAGAGGTTCAGTGCTTCTTCTGATAGAAGAACTAGACGACATCAAATACAGCTAGCAGATGGAAAGAAAATGAAAGGAATTATTCTTTATCCGATTTATAGGTATAATGTGTAACTCCTTGTTAGGAGTTACTGGATCTGCTAGCGTGACAGAGGTGAGGCTGACGCAACTCTGTGTCCCCAGGTCCAGCCAGTCGTAAGGCTGAGCGTGCATTCCCAACAGATGTAGAGGCACACGCACAATGTATGTGCCCACAGCCACACAGACAGAAAACACAGCACTCATAGACACAGACAGCACTAACAACCTGATCCCGCTCCCCTCTCTGGCTGATCAGCATCAAAGCCTGTTAGTAGTATGGATCTATCCAGTAGCCGGTCTATCAGTCTATCCAGTAGCTGGCTGCTGGATTGCCAGGTCTCACCAGTTACTGGCACCTGGACCTACAACCCTCCGAGACCCAGAGCCCATTCCAGTTGGTACTTAGACTTACACACACGCACTCCCCTTATCCCTCTATTTTCCCATGGTTGTTCCCTAAACTGCCTTTGTCCCTCCTTTTCCCTGCCTTTGGTTCGTCCCGTACACATCTTGTAGGGAATCTTGTACAATCCCAAGATGTTCTTTCGCTGCATCCTAAAATGAGTCCCATATCCCTCGAGGCAGTAACCCCCCACAGTCTGTCTGTGAGGTGATCCAGAGACAGCTGCTCATATTAATTGATCTTGATGGGTTTCACCCCCCGGGCAGCTCTGTTGACTCTGATTAGGTTATTGGGGTTCAGCTGACTCACCGTTCCTCTGTGCTCCTTTGTGTTTGTGGAGATGAGCCTTTAATTGCATAAGCTAATGCTTGCTGCGTGGTGTTAAGGCTCCTGAAAGTTTCTGTGGCTTCCAGGAGAGGCTGGCTAAAGAAAAAGGTGTTGATTATTATAAGCTAGACAGGCCTTTGGTTTAACCCAGCACAGCTGTTTCTGGGCATATACTCGGGTTCTTACATAGGACTGAAACAAACAGGGGCCGGGTTTAAGTGCTGGTGTAAGTACTCTTGTGTGCGATGCGATCAAAATTAATTCCTTCATCTAGAAAACCCAAACCCCTGTCTTTATTCATCTATAAATCACAATCTAGTAAACACTTGCTTTGAATTATATTTATTACAAACTGTGTATGTTGACACCAGATAATTGTGATAGTAAAATGACCTTGCTTCAGGAGAAACGACTAATTTTTTGTATAATATCTAGTCATTAAAATCTGTGCATTTGGTCCTATGACTAAATGTCAACAATATTTTATGTTGGCTGTTAGGGTGTAATTTCACACACTTATTAACCTTTGTCTGCTTTTCAACAAATATTTAACAGCAGCGGTTGCAATCCGCTGGTTTGTAACAGGTACTCCTTGTTACTGAAGAAGGTAACAAATAAGTCATAGCTATCAGAATATCTGAATGAAATATATTTTGGGTATATCATTGCTGCTTCTGTATGTAAGTTGTCTTGTAATTCAGAGCCCTATCACTGTTAGCAGTTTGTGAACTTGTTAGTGTGGCTGTACTTTAAAAACGTTTTAATTTCACGTGACAAGATTTTACAAAGGACTACATACCGAACACTTCCGTGAGGAAAAACTGATTACAGGCTTTTTATCATCCCTTCCAGATGAAAACGTGACTTCATGGTCCATTAGCTATTGTTCTCTAACTCTAGTTAGGATCTCTTCATGTTAAGTGATCTGAACTGCTGAACTCTGTCTTGCCAAACAGCTATTGTTGTGTTTTTTTTTTTTTTATTGTTGTCTTTTTTCCTACAAGTTTTTCTGAAAGTTTCTTTTCAATACCTTTTTTTGACTCTGCAGTGCCTTTCATTTAAAATCTTTTCAAACTGCACCTTTGTTTATGATCCACTTTGTTATAAATAATTTTGTAAGGACATTATTTAATCTGGGGAACAATTTCCAGTGTATCTGTAGGATAAAGCCAGAAACAAAAGGGGGTTCCAAATTCTGCGCAAATCAAGAAATGCTGTACTTGGAACTGATATTCAACTCGTGCTTACTTTTAAGGCATATAGATGTGAGAGTTAGCTTTATTGTTTCTTGATGTGCCTGAAATCGCACCTCTTCTTGTACCTGTATTTCAGCTTTAACAGGATGGGGTTTCTTGATGCTACCTTTGTGCCCAGACCCGATCAAGAGAAACACGCGTTTCTTGAACCTCCTGTGATTTCCACCAGTTGCCATTTTTAGGCTATAGCACAGGACCTGCCTGCTCAAAAAAATGTTGTGGTGTCTGCTTTATTTAAAAACACCTCTGGAGAGAGAAGCATTAATATCGTCTCTCTGTATAATATAGAGCACAATCTTAAGAAGGCAGTGTTAAAGGATTTTCTTGGGATGGTGGGTTTTTTTTTTCATACTAAGCAGAACTGAAGTATATTTCCTAGCTGTCTATAGCCATCAGAATATTGTCTGTTCTTTTTGTTGGTGCACCCTTCAACTTCTTTTGAAACTCTTTTGGTAGGAATAGTTCATTCAGAAGAGAATTGTTGATAACGTAGTGTTTAAACTACTCATCTGATGGAAGGAGACGTGGAATCTTGCCTGCTCCAAAGACACGTTTCTTCCTTGGTCATTGCCATGAGCCCTTGGACTGCAGTGTCTTGCTTATTGTGAGAAGGGAACTTTGACGTTTTCAAGAAGTGTGACTTCTCACGTTCCTAAACCCATTTGTTTTTAGGGGGAGAGCTTTAGGTTGTGTCCCCTTGAAGGGCTGGATTCTTCTCTGCAGCCTTCAGCGTAAAAGAAGGTTTTGAGTTGCTTAGTTCTTGTTGGGAACCTGGCCATGGTCTGTTGGCTATATGATTTTTATGTTGAATAAGTTGAATTTAGATTGCTTTGTTTAGCTTACTAGCTGTTTTGGGTTTCTCTATTGTCTTTTATTTGTTTGAAGTGCTAAGCTCTAAGTTTGTCACCTGACTTCCTCTTTCCTAAGCAGAATTAGGACACCTGAGTGAAGTGTTGGAGTATCTTTTTGACCTAGCTCTAAATCTCTACTTCACTAGTCTGGAGTCTGAGAAAATCAACCGAAGGGAGGTCCTGTCTCACTCATAAAGCAATTGTTTTTGACTGCTTAACCCTTCATCTTAACAATTTTATTACCATGTTTAATCAAAGTTTAGGGAAACAAGATGTTACATATCTGATAATCCAACTTTGCAATACTTTCAGCAACTATTTTGTGTGGCTAGTCTGGCTTTTTGGGTTGGCATGACTCAATTATTCAGAAAATCTGGTGGAGTGAAATTATTGACAATTGAAATGGATAAAATTACTTGAAAATGTTAATCTAGAGTATTGTCCAGATTAAATGAGGTCCCACAAGGAGATTCAAGTGCTGTAGGACCTGATATTAAAACAGTTAAGTGGACTGTGATGGAAACTTGCCAAATAAAACAAGAATAAAGAAAATGGAGAGAAAGGATATGGCTTTAAATCACTGAAAAATCTTCAATTCTTCTTGATGTGTCTCAGAATTCATTGCAAGTTTATGGGATTTTTACATTTATTTTTTAACAAAATGAGATTTAACATATGGTGACTACTTGAATTATAATTGGCAGTCCTCCAAAATAGCAATGATGATCCTAATAAATCTTATAATTTTGTTCAAGCCTGCTGTTAGTTATAAAACATTATAAGAGCTTATTTTGTTGGCTATATTTAAGGCTGAAAAAAAAATCATTTTTGTTCCTCCTTTTAGGGGCACAAGAAGTTCTCATTGATCCAGGTACATTATTTTCATGCATGTTTCCAAAGTCTTTTCTTTTATTACTTGCATATGTTTTGCGTTTGTGTAGATAATTACTGCCACTTGCCAAAACCAGTACTGATTCCTGGTGCTTCAGTTTTTGACTATAAATCTTGAGGGAGCAAAGAGACTGGAGGGTAACTGGCACAAAATAAATTATGTAGTTCCATGATTGTGTCCCTGTGAATTCTGATCCAGATTGTTTCTTCTCATGAGTAGTGAGGATTTAAATTTTTTTTTTTTAACCAACAAACCTGAATGGTTACATGTAGTCTTGTAGTGTCATAGTACTCTTTCAATCATCAGTAACAAAGATTTTGCACTTAATTTCCATGAGAACCCCGAAGATGTCAATCTATAGATGTGCTTGGTATGATTCTTTAAGGTTGACAGACATATAAAAAAAGTTGCTTTAGCATTCGAGCATATAAATTAATGTATTTCTGAATATACAGAGAGGAGTAGAAAGTATCTTTCACAGTAGTTTTTAATTGCCTATTGAGAGTTAAGTCGAGCTCTGAAACACAAAGACTTCTTTGCCATCTTAGTAGGGAAACCTCTTGGAGCAATAAATGACCGTATAAATTTAGGCATGTAATCCTACAGATTAAGTAACATGTAAAAAGGTATAGAGCCTTGCCAAACCTTTGATGTATGTTTTCAATTTTATTATGTTAACTCTGTAGTAAAATTAAATTCTAGAAATAAAATTTTCATGTTCTTCGTAATACCTCAGATTTCCTTGGCTTCTATTTCCAATTCTTATCCCTTATGTATGTAAAGACTCTTTCTGTCTCGCGCCTTCTTTCTTATGTAAGAAAAGCAATTTCTTACTGTTTTGTCTGAGCCTCAGGTAATTTTTCTTTTAATGTGGAAGGCTCAGACTGTGGCCTTTGTTACAGTGTAACACTTGGCTTTCTGTGATTAGACATAGGGAAGAGAAGTATTTGTTGTAAATGATTCGAGGTCACTGTTCTAATAATTAGGTTATAAAATAATTGCACATTTTTTTTTCTTAGGTGTGCTTCAGAAATAAAATTTTTAAGTAGAACAAGGAATAATTCAAAGATTAAAATTGCATATTCAGATATGGCCATAATCTAATTTAAGCAATCTAATATTCTAGTTATAGTCTAAATATTCAGATCAGTGTAAAACATGAATATATTTGTTTTTTACTAAGTGAAAGATTATTTCCTGTTTGCTGGTTTATGATTGAATCAATTTTTCATTTGCAGTCTTTCAAATAGCATAGTAAAACCAGAACTAGTAATTTCTAGGTAGGGCATGATTTCTTTCTAGGTAGGACAAGTATTCTTTGTGTATGCTTTGGTCAAGCATACAGCATATCCTAGTTTTCTTCTTAGATATTTAGTATTTGCGAAAAGTCCTTCTGCTCATTTTTTACCCTGTTCTGTTTTAGGTGCGCTGACTTCAAATGGTATAAATGCAGATACCAGCGCTGAGATAGGACGTGCCAAGAATTGCCTTAGTCCTGAAGACATCATAGATAAATACAAAGAAGCCATTTCTTACTATGGCAAGGTAATCCTACTTATTTTTAAGAAACTTCACTGAAATTCTTGTGAATGCTGAACTGCTGTGGTTTTGGTTTCAGAGGGTCTTCTAAAGCATGTGCAATAAAGTTTGTAAAACAGGATAATGGGAGAAATAGGAATAATTTATACTACTGAACTAAGTGCTTGGTTTAGAGTCTGGGAATCTCAGATCTTTGGTCAAAGACAACACTTAAAATAGCAATGGGCTGAGTAATCTATTTACTGTGCCTGCTAGTAGTACCTGGAGGTTTTGGATTAATTGTCTTATATTTTTAAAGCACTCTAAGCAGAAGAGTTAGATATTGAAGGTTTGTTAACTATTACATATGTGTATGGTCCTTAATAGGTACATCATCAACTCCAGGGACGATTTTATGCATTGTGTAAGCTGAACGCTTATTTGTTGTGCCTGCTGGAATGATCTCTGGGGAATTCAGGAGTTGATGAAGAGGTTGCTGATGATAGCTATACATTTACAGGATTGTTCAGGGAGGTTAGTATTTAGAGCACGCAGAGAGGTAGGAGGTCATGGAGGAAATGTGAAGGACAAACACTCTTAAAAGAGGATTTAGAAAAATTATACAGTTTTCAGCTCTATTGGAGCATTTTTTTTTAGATTTTTGTGCAAACGCTCAGACCATAAGATAGTAAGGTGGCTTAATGTTCACATTCATAATATGAAGAGAAAAAAAATTATTTCATATTGTGACAACAGCGGCTCAGCATCTACATCAACATTAAAGATAAGTTTAATTGTATTGCAGTGTAGCTAGTTAAGCTTTAATGGCTTTTTAATTTCAGGTATCTCTCGTTTGATATTGAAAGTATCTTTAGACTAAGCTATGTAAATATGATGTGGCATTTCCATGTCCGTTCAAGGGAGACTCTCCAAATGAAGCAAGATAAGTTGTGTGCATGAGTTAATTTATGATCAGGAGTAATGAAAGGTGATAGTTTTGGGAATAGTTTCAGCTAAGTTTGAATCCATCAATATAAAAATAATTCTCAAGTATTCATTCAGCTTTGTATGTTAACTTAAGCCTAAGTTGCTCATCTAGAAAGAGTAAGATTTCTTTAGAAATATAAAATTGTTGGACTTAGGGCAGGATATTTATATTTTGATTATAATAGTATGCATTGTGCTCTCATCAAGTAATAACTGTGCTTCACTGCAGCTTCACTTGCGAATAACAGAGCTTTGTCTCGGGACTTACCTGTAACTGTTTGGGACAAGCATTGTTAGCTTTAGTCTGTTTAAGACCTACAGACAGAGTAACTCCTAGCTCTAACGCTGAGGAAGCAGCACTTTCAAAATATTTTTTTTGTTATCATTGAGCTTAAGAAACCTTTGTAGCATCTTGTAAAATGGATTCAGTCTCCAGTGATTTGTTTTTGCTGATATAAATGCACAAGAGAGTAATACGTAACTGCTTTGGTGGAGTAGCTCTTGCATTTCATTCTGAGCTTTATTTCCCCCATAAGATTTCAAACATGATAAATACCTGAAAACAGCAGGAGATAGGCTGACTCAAATAACCGAAATCAGTATTGTTTGAGGAAATGACTAGATCAGATTGTCTAGAAAATCGCCTGTGTTTGTTGTCCGAACTCAAACAGATCAATGCAAATCTACAGTCTCCTCTCCTGCCTTTCTTAAACAAGCTAAATAACTGAAACAGTCATTTATAGAAAATGTTTTGTAAACAGATACTAGAAAAACTCAGAATGGTTTCTATTTCACTTGTCATCAGTGGTACTGTTTTAGCTAAAGAGAAAATTGACGCAGTAAGACTAATGTTCTGTTGCTACAGCTTCCTGTGCTATATAGCGTATTTTGTAGTAAGTAGAAAATGCAAAATTAATTCTCTGTCTGTTGTGGCAGAACAGTTTTAGGTGGTGATGAATTACTTTAAAACTGACCTTTTTGCTTAGATACCTATTACACTGTGAAGGTAGAATTTATTTCTTTATTGCAGACACACCACCCACACCCACCATATATATAAGGTTATGCAAAATGATACTAATATTGCCAACTTTTCTCCTCGTCTGAACTCTCAAACTGAAGCTGTGCTGTGTCTCAAAATAGGAAAAGTGAGTGAAGAGGCTGAAAACTGTGGCTTTGCATAATAGCATTTTAGATGACACCTTAATTTTCACTTGGGCATATGTTGATAATTTAACAGTACAGTCACTAGCATTAAAGAACGGCTGGGTTTGGAAGATGTGACAACTGATTTTTGTGTTGAGCGGAAATACTCATCAAATCTAACAGGTGCAATGCTTCAATATTATTTTTTCTCCCTCTTCAAGTACAAGAATGCTGGTGTGATTGAACTGGAAGCCTGCGTGAAGGCAGTGAGAGTTCTTGCAATACAGAAAAGGAGCATGGAAGCCTCTGAGTTTCTTCAGAATGCAGTTTATATCAATCTTCGTCAGGTTGGTGCAAAAAGTCAGGTTATTTTTCTCTCCTCATTTCAGAGATAATACTGAAGTGTGAAAATTACTTAAATTCAGGAGACTCCAGTTTATTTTCTTATATCATTACCTTCCTTCTCTGTAGGACTTGACTTCTGAGGATTTTGACATCTGTGAGTCTGGTTTAAAAGGTGTTCAGAGTTTATCTAAACATGAGGACTTAGTTTGAGATTAAAGACTCTCTTGGTTATTCTCCCTTGTGAAGAAAAAAAATAATCCCATTGTTGTCCTGTTGTGATGTTGTAGTAGGGAAAAACAGCTGCTTGGGACAGATCTGCAACAGATTTTTTTTTTCTTTTCTTGATTGTATCTCATTCAGTGAAACTGTGAGCAAATCGGGAATGGTCTGTTGCAAATGGAGCTTAAGAGTCTGACTAATGTTGTTGATCAATTGAATTTTTACTGTGTAGTGGGAAGTCTTGGTTAGGCCAAATCAGAAAGGAATTCAGAGGAGAAAATCAGTATTTGGAATGTAAGAAAAGCGCTCAGTGCCACCACCTAACAAGACTAACACTTTATCGGTGTCTCAAGCTTGGTGTCACTGGTTACAGAGAGACTGCTGTGGTTGAAAGAATTCATAAAAAGCTGTAAGGTTTCTTACTGTTTTTCCTTTTTTTCCTCATTACATCTTTGTAAGACTGAAGTTTAAGTCCACACCACTAAGCCCAGATGGGGACAGTAAATTTATGAGGGAGGTCGAATACTTCTTGCATTTGCGGAGAATACTTTCTGTGGAGTCAATTTTCTAACTCAACATAAACAAGAAATTAATTAATTGATAAGCTATCGTAAAAATCATCAGTGTTGTTGCAGAGTACCTTAATTGCTGTAATGCTTGCAGTGCTAAGCACCTTCTCTTTAATTCTGTAGTCAGTCTTTTGCTGGCAGCTTTGTAGCGTTTCTTGTAAGCTGCTGTGACAGTATTTTTCCCTTGTTGTTCTTGCGCTGTTATTCTCATGGGCTGCAAACTCCAATATTATTTTTCTTATGGAAGCAATCGCTGTCATTGTGAGAACCACCTATTCTCTTCCCTGACACCGCTGATGTTGCAACTTTCACTTTATATTAGAGGAAAAAAAATAAGACTTAGTGAATGGCAAAGTATGTAATTTGTTTAAATAGCTGATAAGTATTACCTAACAACACACAAGCACAAAGCTTGGCAGCTAGTCAGCATGCAACATGTGTCCTGATCAAAGCTTGCCCCAGCCAGCTCTAATAGTGTCCCAGATAGAAACAACTAAGAGTTTGAGTTGGTCCTGATGAAATGCATCTACTGAAAAAGCATGGTGAGAAGGCATCATTGCTTTTGTCACCTGCTGCGTTGGAGAGAACCAGAGAAGGAAGCCCCACTGCTTTTCTTCCTAGCTGGCTGATCTCTTTCTGCTTTGTTTTTCCCCTAAAGGAACTTTGAACTTGATGTATGCTATCAGCTATTGACCCCGCAAATAAAGCTTTGTGCATGTAAAGCATGCCTCAGTGTGCGTTGTCATGCTATATAAAATATATTCTATAAATGCTAAATCTCCCACTCTCTGGAAAACCTTGACATAAAAACCAGGTATATTATGTATTTTTGTTATAGCTCAGTCAGAATTTAGGGAGTTAATGCAGGTATTATCTAGCAACCTTCAGCAAAGTGTTTGGCACAGTTTCCCACAGCCTTCTGAGCAAGCTGGCAAGATGCAGACTGAAAGGGTGGTCTGCGAGATGGGTAGGAAATTGGCTAATGGGCTGCACTTGGAGGGTGGTGATCAAAAGTTTTTACTCAGGCTGGCAGCCTGTCACAAGTGAGGTCCCCCAGGGATTGATACTGGGCCTCACGCTCTTCAGCTTCTTCAAAAATTATCTGGATGATGGGATTGATGATGACACCAAACTGGGTGGTGAGGTGGACACATTAGAAGGGAGAGATATTTCACAGGGAGACCTGGACAGGCTGGAGCCTGTGAGCTAGGAAGAACTGGATGAGGTTTAACAAAGACTAGTGCAAGGTTCTGCACCTGGGATGACCAAACCAAAGAGCCCAGTACAGGCCGGGATCTCTGTGTGGCTGGGGAGAAACCTTGCCAGAAGCGACCTGAGGGTCCTGGTGGACAACCAGCTGAAAAGGAGTCAGCAGTGCACCACTGCAGCAACAAAGGCAAATCGGATCCTGGGCTGCATCTGCAGGGGCATTGCTAGCAGAGACACAAACGTGATCATCCCACTCTACTTGGCCCTTGTCAGGCCACATCTGGAGTACTACGTCCAGTTCTGGTCCCCACAGTTCAAGAAAGCCATGGACAGACTGGAGAGGATCCAAAGGAGGGCCACAAAGATGACCAAAGCAGGGCTGGAGAACCTGTTTGATGAGGAAAGACTGAAAGAGTTAGGTCTTTTCCTCCCTGGAGAAGAAAAGGCTCGAGGGGGGATCTCATCATAGTATTCCACTACTTAAAGGGTGGCTACAAAGAGGACAGAAGCTCCCTTCTCACAAGGAGACATATGGATAAGTTAAGGTGTACAAGGGTACAAATTGCACCAGGAGACATTTCACTGCAATATAAGAAAAAATTTTTTATAGTAAGAACAATCATTCACTGGAACAACCTCCGCAGGGCTGTGGTGGAGTCTGCATTGCTGGAGGCTTTCAAGGTGCTGCTGGACAGGGTGTTAACTGGACAAACTCTTGGGAGGGGTCATCCTGTAATAGGTTAGAGAAACAAATGATAGGACGGTGTTTTTCTCTTGCAGGTAGATAGAACAACCATTATTCAGCAGCCAAAAAAATCTCTTGCAGGATAAAGTGTATGTCTTTGATAAACAGGAAAACTTCTTTCCATATATTCGGACTCCTACCCAGTCTGGTAACATGTAATTGGTGTTTTCTGATTATAGGAGAGCTGCAGGGTAGTAAGACTTATCTTTGCATCCACTTATGATGAATAAATTGTAACATGTAATTACTAAGAAAGTGAGATTATAGAATTGTAATATAAATAAAATAAAAAAAATAAAAAGCTATTCTTTTGAAATCCTGTCTTAAAACAAGCCTGTGAAAAACCTGGGTCAGTTGCTTGGCTAGTGAACTGCATCCTTTACAGGTGCAGTTGCCAGCTTGGTTTGTTATAACAGTTAAATGAAAATTAACCAGATGGAAAAGATGCTGTGCTTCAGGCGTTGACTATTTTGCAGCCACTTTATAGGCCTTAAAGCTTTTATAAATCTGTAAGGTCAGGAAACATGTTTGTGAACGCTGCACTAATGGCCTGCAGAATGCCTGATGTGCTCTTCCCAGAATTAATTACTTGGAGTATCTGTGTGGGGGTTTGTTTGTTTGTTTGGTTTGTGGTTTGTTTGTGTGTGTGTTTTTTTTTTTTTTTTTTCTTTTAAATCCCTGAGTGATAACACATAACTATTTGTGCTGAGGGAAAACACAATTTTCTATCTTTGTGGTGATGAAAAAGCAGTTTCCTGCAACTGCGGAAAATACTTGAGTAACTTGGTTGACAATCATTAAGCAACAACTTGGGTAGCAGTGTTAAAAACGTTACTCAGATGTGACAGAAATAAAACCTTCTGAGTATCTATTGCCTTTCTGATAGTTGTTCTAATTATTAGCGAGCACTAATGTCTACCTAAATAGCATGACCCTGTCTTTTCTCATCTTAAAAACTTAGTTTCTGTAGGTGTGTGAGCATTGACAGTATTATGTATTAGAGGAATAGCTTTTGATAGTGGTTTTTTTAAGCTTTTCTAACTTTTGTGTGTGATCATGTGCTCATGCACTTTTCAACTCTGCTGCCATATTCTTTTACTGTGCTAACTTTTAAAAAATGTCATAAATCGAAAAAAAAAAAAAACCCAGAAGAAAAAAAAGAAGCTGGAGCAGCTTTTTTTTTTTTTTTTTTTTTTTTTTCTGGTGGAGTGGGTAACCTTAATCTGACTCCTCATGTTCTTTCTGAATGATAGCTTTGGGGATAAACTGGTTTAAAATTGTTCTGTATTTTCTTTTTGTGCCTTGTGTTCTTTCCAGCTGCACTGATTCATGAGAGTTTTCAGCTTGGTGCAATTGCCTTTTTACAACTCCTGTTACAGGGATTGGTCTTTTGTATGAACGGGCAGTATTTTTGCGTTGGGCACTGTATTGTGTTGTCAGTTCTGAGGGAAATGGGAACTCCAGCTTCAAAAATTGTCTGAAACTTTCTGAAATGATTTGCTGGTCTGTCCGTCTGTATCTCTTCATGTCATGAAGTACTAAGATTTGAACTATCGGATAAGGTTGTGGTGCTTCCTGAAAACTCTGGGCTGCTTTGAGGTCTCTCATATCCCTATGTCCAAAATGAGAAGTGACTTTTGAAAGCAGATTTTTTTTTTTTGTAATTATATTAGGATTTAAGTGACTAATAGATATTTTGAAGCTTCATTTGTAAGACCTAATTATTTCTGTAAAAGTGTGGCTAGCATCTTGTTTTGACTTTCCAAGGCTTTAAGTATCTGAAGTTAAATGCAAAGAATCCACTGACTGATACATTCAGTTTTGAAGAATGAGTTGCAGAAACGCACTAAAGGACAGAAACAGCTATTTTTGTATGAAGTTTGTCATTTTAAACGCCTTTGCAAAACATGTTAGCAGCTTTAGAGTAATTTAAAATATTTTATATTGCTTATGATTGTGCCTGCCAGACATTGTGCACTAGGTGTCAGTATTGGTCCACCTTCTGAACTCAATGGTGTTCGTTACTGGGATGTAGACTTGAAGTAGTTGGTGGCTTCCAGAATTTCTGTGGCAGTTGCTTCTTGGCTGGATGATTTCAAAGCAAGATTGTCATTCAAAGCAGAGGGGGAAAAAATGGTTACTTGGGTCTTGTGCCAATATATTGATAAGCTAAAGAAGTGCACGTTGATAGTTACTCATCAAGTTTGTTTCAGCTTGAAGCCTAATGGGGCTTAACCTTTCATGAAATTTTTCCTCACTAGTTGGCAGTCTGCATATGTATAGTGTCATGGAATGAAAATGTTGTGGTTTACGAGCTCAGAGACATGAAAATTGAGACAGTAGTTTCTTTGCTTTCATAGCCTGAGATTTCAAGATTAATAATTAGATTTAATCTTAAATGGATGAAAATATCTAACTAGGTAAATCAATAGATTTTTGGATGTGGTGTATTTTTGCATTCTTATTATGCTTGTGAATATCACATTAAATATCTTCCATAAAACATAGAGCTGTTTAGCTGTTATTGACTGTTTCAACTATTTAATTGATAGTACTCATGATAAATAAAGTTGCTAAAGAACTCGCTCTTTGCTGCTTTTCTCAGCTGTTGAACTTGAAGCAAGCTTAAGTTTTCCTGGCAGTAGAAGCTGTCATGACTGGCTATGTGCAAAATCACTGGCCTTCTGTAGTGTTGGAGATGTGTCTAGTATGTTGGTTTTTGTTTTTTTCTTTTCTCTTTAAACTCAGATATACACTTTACAGTGTAGATTAAAACCAATCCTTTTCTCTTTTCCCTTTAAATTACAGCTTTCAGAAGAAGAAAAAATCCAGCGTTACAGCATTCTTTCTGAGCTGTATGAACGTATTGGTTTTCACCGAAAGTCTGCTTTTTTCAAGCGTATAGCAGCAATGCAGTGCGCTGCCCCCAGCATCCCAGAACCCGGGTGGAGGGCCTGCTACAAATTGCTTTTGGAAACTCTCCCGGGCTATAGCTTATCATTGGATCCTAAAGATTTCAGCAAAGGTAAGTGTCTCTGGGAAAGCATGGATTAGCATAGTAGGTCACTCAGCTGGCTTTCTATGACTAATTTCCTTGAGAGATTTCAAATTAAACCGAAATCATTTACCTATCTGAAACTAGTTGTGACACATAGAGCAGTTCTTTAACACCATACCTTCACTTTTTCTTAGTGTTGCTTTCAATAATTTCAAATTTCTGTGAGCCACTGCTGAATGTGTTGCTGTATTTGTTTGCGGCAAATAATTGTTTTATTTATGAGAGCTTCATTTCTACTTTTTTTTCAAAAATGTCTTTGATCATACACTTCTCAGTACAAGAAAATTCATATTTTATTTTTGAGTATTTTTTCAATTAAAGTGCCTTCAACTTCTGTATCAGAAATTGTATTTCTTTTGGTATTTGTTGTTGTTTGATCTTATAATGAATGAATGAAAGATTCTTTTTACATAGTTCTGTATACAGACACACATACATACATATAATGTAATTATATCTGTGTCTGTAGGGTCAAATATGTCACATTTTTCCACAAATTAGATCAGAGTGATGTTATCTGTAAGACTAGCATTTGGTTAAGACATTTCAACAGTTTTTAGATGCCATATATTGTTTGAATTACTATTCTGTTGCATCTGTTAAAAAACAAAAGGAAAAACCATCCTAAGAACACATGCCAATTCTTGTAGCTGTTAAATACTGTGTTCGCTTTCTGCAAGTTATGTGCTGTTTGCTGCCCTTCTTTCGGTAAGCTATGTTTCAACAATTTTATCAATGTTATCTAAAGCTGTATGTAAAGTAATAACTAAAAAAGTTGTCTTGATTTTAATATACTGTACTGCATTTTTCCTGTAAAGGAAGAGACAGCTAATATGCTGCTTGGGAACTCCCTTTGAGTAAACCTTTCCATGTTGCCCCAAAACTTGCGTTCTTTTGTATAGTGGCGTTTTTGGGGACCATTCACCAAATGTTACAGCTGCAGGAGAGGAGCAGCAAGCAATGGGCTGAGCAGGTATTGGTGGAAAGGAGGTGGGGTTCACCAGTATGAAAACTCCAAATTGGTTTAAGTATGAATGAACAGCAGCCACAATGATGTTCTCCCTTGTCTGAGAGTACATGGAATTCCAGTTCAATGTTGTCTTCTAAGTTCAGTGGTAAGTTTAGTTGTTTCTGTATATGCTCAGTCACTTAGCCATTGAAATAATGGAGCTGTCGAGTCAACTCGGTCAAGGGAGAATACGGAAAAACTCATCTGACTACCCACTAGGTGATATTTTCCAAGCTCTCTTAGCTCCACTAATGAAACAGGCATGTAGACAACCCACTGTATGTGTGGATGGTTAGGTTGTGGGGGTTTTTTTTGTTTGTTTTTTTAAAAAAAAACAAAAACTGGTGTGATTTTAGCAGTCGTGGGAAGAAAATGAGCTGTGAGAAGAAGCAGGAAATGCCAAGGAGACTAGCCAGAAAGATAGAAAGGTCTAGGAAGAGGAAATGTGCTGAAAAAAGTAGGCTGTGACCTGTGATGGAAAAGGAGAAGACTGGGATGAGACTGTGTTGGGAGAAGAGGTTGTAGAAGTTCTTCAAGAAGTGACCATTAAAAAAAAAAAGAAGTTATGATTGGTGTTTATCTTTCAATTTTTACCTTACCTTTATGTTGCACTGAAGTGCTTCGTTAATTTTACCCCTAAAATGGCTGTGTTGGAGACGTGTGGAAAGATCACTGCAAACTGTAAGAACTACTTGATAAGAATGACATTTCACACATGAAAAATGAGACTCTTGCGTGCAAAATATGAACTTTCAAGATTTGGTTGCAGTAAATATTTCTAGAAAAGTTTGCCAAATGCTGAAGGGTAACATTAGACAGAAGGCTGTTTAGAAGTTTATGAAGTATTGCACGTCTTGGAATATCTGTTATTTAAAAATTAATGCTCTTGCTTACTACTAAAAGCAGGTTAAGTTTCATGAAGAGTACTGCATATTACATTTTTGAAATATTGTTACCATAGATACTTCGCAAATATGAAATAATTTATAGTCTGAAACTTAGTTTTTAAAGACTGTAATCAGGAAATGTGTCTCATATCCTTTATTTTATTGTTTTTACTGACTTTTAATGGCCAGAAAAGCATGTAGAGAAAATTTCTTTTGCTTGGTCTTTAAAGAGAGTTAAGAAGTACTTGATTTGGATAAAAATGAAGTTTCCGTATGGAATCTCACGTGAATTTCTCTTTCAGATAATTTAAAAAATATAAAACTTTAAAGGTTTTGTGTATCATTTTGTTTTTACTTCATGGGAAGTGTTAACTTCATTTTCTGAATTCTCATGATAAATTTACTAGTCAATAGACAAGCATATAAAACAAAAATTGCGTTTACATTTAAATATTCAAGCAAACTAAAGTATCCTAATTCTTCTTTTGTTTTGAGTACAAGATTTGGATTTTGTAATTATTGGTTCCATAACGTAATTTTTATAAGTGTCATTAAATTACTGCTTTGTATATAAAGAAAACCAAAACCGATTGGTTTGTGATGACTTCTAGCTTTGAAAAGTACTAAATGACTGCTTACTTTATAGGAACTCATAGAGGATGGGCTGCAGTACAGATGCGGTTGCTTCACGAACTAGTATATGCTTCCAGAAGAATGGGCAATCCTGCTCTGTGTGTCAGGCATCTGTCATTCCTTCTCCAGACCATGCTGGATTTTCTTTCTGATCAAGGTATGATTTTTTTAAAAGAAGGCGATATTTGCACTTTCTTTTGTCCTACGGTCAAATAATGTGACTTTGTTTTGAAATATACTTAGAGAAGTAATGGAGAGCGCAGAAGTTAGGGAATTCTGTGTGTGCACGAGGTAGCTCACTGATGGTAATCAATCACGTATCAGTGTTATTAGTTTTAAATGTAAGTGTTCTGACCTTGATGTGTAGTATCTAAAATAAAACTTCCTTTAATGGTTTCTATCTCTAGATTGACTGCCTCAAGCCTAATGCTCTCTTTCCTCTGTAAATATTAAGAATATGATCAGAAGGCTTAATTTGCATGTGGATTAAAAAAAAGAATTATTATTTCAAAATACTAGCAGCTTTCATAAGTGCTATTAGTGAAGAGATTGAGAGGAGTTGAGGTTGAAACGCGAATTCAGAAGAGTGTACGGTAGTTCAGATTGCATGTACCATGAGTTTTCTGATGAAATCTGTTTTTCTGACAAAACATTTGTAGTGTGGGTACAGAATTCATCTAAGGGAGTCAGCACCATCCTTGTCTCTGTATTTGAGAAGATGAACTTGTAGTTCCATCACGTTCAGCTTCTGAATTAAACAGTGTTTAACTAGGACAGTAGGCTTAAGTTTCTGTAAGTTTCTGTGGTTTCTTTAAAAAAAAAAAGTTTTAATTCAGCAATAAATTTCAGTGGGATTTATTAAATTTGTCAGTGGATGGCAATCGAATGAATGTCTGGTTGATTTTCAGAAATGGTAATGATGTGTGTGTGAGGACCCTTTTGCAGGGGGGGGGGCTGTGCAGCATTTACAAAATCACCTGGAAAAGCAAAAAGCGACAACTGTCCTGTTTGTATTATGTTTCTTAAGAAAAAAATTTCAAACATGTTTTTTATCACCTAAATTAATGAGATTGAACTACAACCGTGAAAGGTTTTAAAAGAATTTTTTTGATTCACAGTAACCTAGGTAAAAAATTCTGCTCCCCCCCCGCAGTTTTTCCCTCATTTACGATAAAGAGGATGGAAGTAAAATGGTGTAGCTTTTTTTTTCTTGTCTCTTTTCTCCTTTAGTTAGGGCCAAACATCTCTCCTTTGTGACTCCTGCAGCAAAGAACTTTGCTGGTGATGTTTAGGTCTTTGCCTGCCAGTAAATTCCCTCTGTTTCCTTCAAATCAGTAGTGGAGGAAGGAGAGGAACTGACAGGAACTGATAAACTGGAATAAAGTATCTTTATGTCTGTAGATCTTATTTGTTGTCAAAAGGTCCTTGGATTTTCCAGGGCTTTCAATGAAGCTTCATTGATTTATGTGTGGAAAGTTTGGCTGGAGACAAGGTTTTAAGCTCTCCTACTGTGCATGTCCACATATGATATTGCTCATCCCTAATCCTAAAAACGTTTGAAATCTTCAAGCGAAACAACTTTTGTGTTTTTTGTCTTCAGACTTGATATGTCGGAGTAAAGCTTCCAGTTTCATAAGACCTATGATAACTGATGTTTAGTGTCTTTGAAAAACAAAACTAAATGTTCTCCAGTGTGTTTGAAAAGTAGCTGAATCTTTTTCTCTCCTCCTGAAGACATCCAAAATAGAACTTGCTGTTGTGTTTGAAGTCTTTTATTGATAGCATGTTGCTCAGACATGGTTAGTGGTGTTCCAAACTACCTCGAGTGTGGATGACAGTGCCAGAAATGTATTTCTGGCTTGTAATTTTTATGTAATTCTTCTGAGATTGATATCGTGTGATGTTGTGCAAGAGTCCCATTTAGCATAGAAAATTACTTAAAATTTATAGTTCTTTTTAAAATATCAGAATATCAGGAAAAAATAAACTAACAAACCCCCTTCTACCCTGGTTTGTAGTAAAGGACAAAAGCAAGAAGATTTGAATACATGGGATTATGCTACTTACTATTTTAATTTTGTGAACTGTTTCCCTTATATTGTGAACCTTTAAAAAGTGTTGTAATTCGTATTCTTCTCTGATAATCACATGACTGAAGCTTCCAGGTTTTCTTAACCAATTAGAGGTTTAATTAGGAAACTGAAGTAATACAGTAGCATTGGAGTTCAAGAATGCTAAGATTTTATTGTTTTTCTGTGCTGCTTAGAAAGTTGCCAAGTTACAAGGTGGAGGAAAATTCACTCTTTCTAAAACCAAGTTTTTACCTGAATTTGTTGTTTCTTAAATCAAATAAACGTCATATTTTTAGAGTTGTAATTGCTAATATATGTTAAATCCTACATTTGTATTTAAAATTCGGGTAGTTTGCAGATCACTTTTAAAAATAGAACAAATGGAAGTGAAAACTCCAAGCTGAAAGAAAGTTACCAGCTAAATATTTGGCACTGGAACTTGATCTTCTAATCCTTTTTGTCTCAGGATTAGCTTCCACTAGAGAGAAGAGGAAAATTCTCTCATTCTAGTTTGTTAATCTAATTCTGTTTGTTTACTAGTTCAGTTGAAGTTGAGATGCTGGGACTTCAGAAAACAGAAAAAAATTGATTCCTCCTTCACTTCAAGTAGAAGTTCAGAAGATGAGATTTAGTAGTTATAATGAAAGATCTATTAATTAGAAGTTCTTGCTTCTATTCACAGAACACAAATGCATAGTCAAAACTGGTTTGTGTTTAAAGCAAAATTTTCTTACATTTTAATTGAATGACACTTGATTAATTATTTTAAAATACAACTTTTCTGTATGTTTACTTGAATTACAGTTTCCAACCATGCAGCCTGGCAAATATGAATAAAAAATATCATCAAGTAAATGGGAGATGTCAGCCACTATTTTAACAACATGGAAGCTGAGTCTGATTTAAAATTAAGCTGTTTAGTTACATTAATATGTAAAATGCAGTCTTCTGCTTAGCAAAGAGAGGTACCAAATTCTGCATAAAAGCTCTCTAATCTCAGGCCATTATGTTTTAATGTTAACAAGCCCTTGAGAGTCACTCTTTCTTTAAATAAGAATTAAAATGTGCAATTGCAAAGTTGCTTGGAATGAAATGTATCTCTTTTGCATATTGCCTTTTGAAACACCACACTGTGTGTACAGCTCACACTGAATTTGATTTGGGTAAGGTCAGGTACTTGGGAAAAAACCCAATATTTTATTGTGGATCTTTATTAACAATATCCATACTCCTTAAAAGGACTGTGATTTGTATTGTGTGCAAATGATTCCGAGTTAGCTCATCTATTAGGGCCTGTCTAAACACAGAGCTCCTTGGAAACAGCTATTATCGAAAGTGACTGTCCACACAGAAACCGCTTACGGAGAGCGCGTCTGTCACCCCTGCAAGCTCACAGCCTTTCAGATGTTCAGCAAAAAAGGTTTCCAGCTGCCCTGCCTGCTGTTTTGCTTTTGGTGGCAAGGACCTCTGCACTGAGGTGACCTTTTCTCACCATTTGTGGTATGGGATGGAACTAGGAATGCTTCATTCCCTTTTTTTGCGGGCGAGTTCAGTTCGTTAAAGATCCTCGAAGTTCCACTTTTCAGTGCTTCTCAGTATACCTCCGCCATTAAGATCTTCCTGCCCCGTGATTGTTGTTGTGCTTTAGTTCTTTTCAGCCTTCTAGTGAGATGACAGTTTTCAATCCAAGATCTCTACTGCTCTGTCTGTTGTGTACTTAACTACACTACTAACTCTGCGATGATTTTACCTTGCATTAAACATGCAGAAGTAATTTTTCATCTGTTAACCTGTGTTCTGGATGTCTTTATTCTGAGGTGAGTGACAGTAGGTGCTGGAGAGAACAGTATCTAGAAGTACTTACTGAAACATCCTAGGGCGCCTTCCTGTCATTCCTGTCTGTGGTTGATTCTCAGATGATTGGACACCACCGTTAGTTCCAGCTGCATCCTCTGTTAACAAACTTTAGGGCAGAGATTAGTTCCCAAAGCAGTTTTGCAGGTGTTTGAGGTTGTGAAGTGCCTTTTGACACCAGTTCTACCTGGTGGACCTAGACAGTCAGCAAGCAAAGGCGACAAGACAAATGACAGTGTTCCATATTTTTTTTTTTTCTCCATCATGGTTATTGATTTTGGATACAGCCTGCATGATTGCCTGAGCTCTCTTGTGACCCTTTTGGTGCTTCTCTAGCTAACTGGATTGTCAGCACAGGTACTATTACAGCATTAGTATGGCCTTTGGTGTTTCAGAAAGTCTGTTCTGCTGTTCTTATCATTCCCTAGAAGAACATGAATACTCTCTTTAGAAACAGAACCGTGTAGGCTAACAACCTGAAGAACAACCGTATGGCCTCTCATGTATGTCCATGTTTACCTTTCAAAACCAGAAAGACACAGAATAGTGGATATCATGTAATTCGGAGTCTTTCTTTGATGGCCTCTGCCTTTAGTCTTTTCAGCAGCAGTAGTGACCAAAAATAAATAGGCTAAGTTCCACAGCCATCACCACAAATGTCTGGCAGCTTGGCAATTAAGATACACTTGTTGTTCCAGTTTTGCTGATCTGGTTGTCAGGGCTTCTTTGCTCACTGAATATAAGATTTTGTACAATTTTAGCTTATTTATCTTTCTACTGATGTCATGAAGAGATTTGTTTTAGCCCTGGCCAACTGAAAATGGTATTCTGAGCTTCATTACAAATAGCCCTTCACTAGAGGCATGCCCTCCCCAGAGTGGATGCTCATGGCCGCAGTCATTGATTCTGCTGAAAGACATGAAATCTTTAGTGAAGGACTTGTTATGACACTTCTCTTCAACCAGAGGACAGACGAGGTCCTGCCTGTGATGAAGGACTTAGGGGGTTTCCTTGCTGTAGCTGGATATTTTATCTTCAGAAGCAAACATTATCAACAGAGTTCATCAGCCTTCATTAGGAGGCATTTCTGCGTGTGGATTTTGATTTTCAGTATGCTGACTTTACATATCTGCATCCAGGCATTACACAGGACATACCACAGAGTGGCTGCGATTGTTTCTTGGTCAGGAGTTGGTTTTATGGTTTATCTCAGATAGCGGCTGCACGCCAT